TGTGCTCAGCTATGTCTGTCAGGTCCTGTAGGAATGAGCAGCAGCAGCTGTCACAGACCTCCTGAAAACAGGGAGAGCTCAGCAATATTTTTGCAGAAGAAGGAATATAACAGAACAAAATGAAATCATTTGTGCTGGCACACAGTTCAGGTGTTGTGTAAATTACCTGTCTCTGCTAACTTGTTAGTAGTGAAAATTGTAGTTCAAAATGCTGTTAGATGTAGCAATCGAAGTGTCTAGAGGAAGAGCAGATTTTTTCTTATTTTTATTTTTCAATGTATGAGTACAAAGAATAGCCTGGCCCTCTGAGGCATGAAAAAGAGCAAATTAGAATGAGGAGAAAATGAAATAACATAGATAGCAAACTTGCAGTTGCAGCGTTTTTTCTAATGCAAAGGCCAGATTAGGACTTTATCAAGAATCTGATTTGCCAGAGCAGAAAAAAAAAATCTGTAGACTGCAAATACATTCAGGAAGACAAAGAGCAAGGATCGTTGAGAGCCAATGAGCCTGGTTCTTCTCTCAGAGAGACATTATTCCCAGAGTAACCTAAACAGGCACATGGCTTGCTTATGCCAGTGTGCATACAGTGAAAAGACATATGGTCCCATCACAGGCAAATGATAACTCACAACAAAGGAAATGGAATATAACATCAAAAAAGAAGGTTTCTTTACATCAGCACTAGCAAGAGAGCCCTGTAAGTACAGTGTAAATACAGCGTCAGAGTCTAGAGACCTGTGGATGTTTTTACTGAAGTAATTCAACAGCAGTGTAAAAAATATCATTCATAATCCAGTTCTGTGCTTTGTTGTGGAAATGGGGCAAGCCAGAAATATTCTTAGACTAGCATCGTATAGTTCAGTTGGAAGGGACCTGCAAAGATCATCAAGTCCAACTGTCCCATTCAGAGTGTAGCATGTGTACATAATAAGTGACCGCTTCATAAAAGGTTAAGGGTCAAGAAGAAGAGACTGGGACAACTTGACTTTGTAAAGCAGACTCATTCTTCAGTGAAGAAATAAACCAAACATATGACAAATCTGCCTCTTACCAAAAAGCTCTTGAATGCACAAGGATACATATACAGAAGGAAACGAGAGAAGTGCTCCCTGTTGGGCTAATAAGAAGCGTCATTATTCCCCTCTTCAGCATCACTGTTCAGTACCACCCATCATGTGGTGGATAACAATGAAAAGTTTCAGCAAAAGGAACACTGAATTTATATTTCTGGTGAAATAACTCAGTTTTCTAGAATACCAGTTGGGAGATTACATAAATATATATGTAAATTGTAGTGATTATACTGAATTTTAAAATATTCTCAACAGGGTAACAACATCCAAATGCCACGTTGTAAAACTGATCACTTAAATGCAAACAAATCCAAATTCACCAAGTTCAAGCATTTGAAATCACAGGCGGTTCTGTTCTAAAAATCATGAGATTCAAAATTAATAAATATAGAATTACTTTTATCACTCAGTTGTGTTGGATATTTTAGGATTCAAATGTTCAAACTCATCTGTCAAACAAAATTTAGAATATAACTTCCTATATGTATGTATATTTTAATGATGATTGTAGAAATGATAATAATAGTAAAGAAACTTGGAATACAAGTAAAAATGCAAGGTATCTTGTGAGTTCACAGTATAGCAGTGCTTCAATATCTCTAGATAGCCACAAATAATTAAGATGTCTTTGATGATTACATTTGGGCCCTACCAGTACATGAAAATGACATTTAAAAAAAATCTTTTAATAAGTGGTCATACAAATGGTTCTGATTCAAAGAATAAGAAAAACATGAAAGTAAATTGAGGATCCACTAGGGAAAAGAAAATGATATATAGGACTACTTCAGAGAGAAATCTGTATTGTGGAGATGGAAAATGAAGGCACAGCAGAAGATACTTTCCTGTGGAATTCAGATGAAACATTACATTCTCATCTGTTTTTACATTTTATTTGCTTCAAGAAGTGTGTCTTGTCTCCCGCTGAAGAAAAAGCAAATGCCAGTTTGGGTGCTGGCATGACCTAAACAGTATATATTCACGTGCACACAATCTCACGTGCACTGCAATACAGTAGAGGAACATCAGTGATGTTACTAAGTCACATACTGGAAAATATCCACATTACACTTCCTTTAGCAGCATCAGCTTAGCCTCCCACATGGTCGCAGTACAATACAATTTAAATTAAATGCTTATATGCTATTTTTCTCTATAAAACTACAGCTCATTTTATAGATTAGCTAGATTGCTGGCCCAAAGTGAATTCTGGATGTGATCTCAGGCTCTTGAGGACTGTGGTACTATCATATGTGCTCTGTCCCCACATCTCTCACTCTCAGGTGTCCCATTACTTCTGTCCCAGGCACACATGGGCTCCCTCCTGCACATACCACTTCCTCTTCACACTGCTCGCTGCTTTCCAGCCTCTTCAACTCCTCTGCTGCTACTACCTCTGCTGCCTTCAAGACTCCCAGCATATGAAATGCCCTACATATCTATACTTGTTGGGTTGTGGTCCTCATCTGACGGACCAACTGACTCTCAGCTCCAGTGCCTGTTCCTCATATATCAAATCTTTACCCTTCTCTTATACTCCTAAGTACAACATTTTTCTACAAGTTTCCCAACCTGATTTGCCCCCTTCCCACACACATATAACCAATACTTCCCCCACTGCATTTCAGTCACTTCCCTATTTAACACAGCTGGGCCCTTAAAGCAGGTGAATTGAGATGAAAGCTGAATTGAATAATGAATTAGCACGACATGTGATGAACTAAGTAGTCCAGGTGCAGTATTGTCCATTTCTCCCTGACAGGCCACATGATCGGAGGATGATATTTTCATTTCGAATATGAAGTCAGTATGAGATGCAAAATATCTTTAGTCCATGCTCCAAAATGTAGGTATTTGGGTAATTCTTTATATATTTTCCTCTAATATTGTTTCCAGGCATGTAGCAGCCACTTTGGCCACTGGAATTATAATGACTAATAATAATTAAATAAATAAAAGCATAAGAAAGTATTTGTAATCTTTTCAATTCAAAATAATAAAATAATTATACACTAAAAATAATGGAATTATATTCTGTACACAAGGCAATGAAAATAGCTCAAAGTTTGGCAAAGTCACAAATAACTGGGAAGACAGCTTTGTAATGATTCTGACACTGGGTGACCTCAAGTATAGAAAGCATTCTTACTGAACAGTATAACATTAATAATTTCTATCCAGGCACAAAAGAGAACTCTAAGGGTGGAAATTTAAAAATGAGTGGATTGTGTCTTGTGCCATCTGATAAAATTGTATCCTTGACAGATGAGATGTAACCTCAAACAAATATCAATCAAGGCAGCAAATCAATAAAATGCACAAAGGTGATTATTCAGGGTTATAATTCCTCAAAAACATATTCATGAAATACTATACCAGGAAAATTTAGAGGTAATTCCACTTTGGCAGAAAACTGGCTGTCTTCATTATTCTCACAGATACTTGCTATGAGCTTATTAATTTTGAAACCAGTAACTTTAATCACTTCTCCTGTTGACAGGCAGCATTCATTTCCAAACATCTCATAGATGGAACCTGAAAAGCAAATCAAAAGAAAAGAAAAGAAAAGTGTTCAACATTTTATCACTTTTTCAAGTATCTTTCTCTCTTTGAATGAAAGTAAAAGCACTTAAAATAAGTTATATGAAATATTCTTATCCTACAGTAACTAGTCAAATCTTCACTTTCTCCCCTAAAGATTATAAGAAAATTCATCTTGTGACTTTAGTGATCTTGGAAGTGATCTTCACTGATCTAGTATGCACTGTCCTTAGATGTGTGTAAGGACGTTAAGGTTTGAAGAACATGCATTTCAAAGTTATAAAACCAAAACGTAATGAGGCTGAGCATAGACTGCCTGGGTCATAAGGAGCTGCCTCATGAAATCAGCAGGTGGTGGAATCTAGGCAGGAAAGGTGCCTCTGCACAGCACAGGACACACCATAGAAAACAATAGACTGCAACAGAAGACAAAAACTATAGATCCTACAAGATACCCAGGGAGAGGCCAGGAGACATCAAAGTGAAATCAACATTTGAGATTTCCATAGTAACAGGAAATCTGAAGAAAGTGAAAGAAAATTGAAGGCTGGTAAATTAACAGTGGTAATCCCTGCCCCATGCTGAAACAAGCCTATTGATTCTTTCCTGGCAGAAAAGGAAAAAAAAATAATCCTTTTTTCTTGTGATGTTCAGAAGACTGAGTTCAGGAACAAAGCAATCCAACTAAGCATCTCAGAGATTCCTCAACACAATCTGGAACTGCCACTTGCCCTGCCAAAAACACCCTCCGTTTTCCATACTAGCTGTGGTTCATCTTTGATGTTTCAGAAGTACATGTGTGTTGGGGGTGTGGAGGGTGAGGGGAATAATAAAGCAAAATCATAACAAAAGCCAAGTTATGCAGAAGAAGGAAAATTCTTCCTGGTCCCTGCAGGAGATTAGCAGAAGCTTTGAGGCACAGGATTAATTAATTATATATGAAGGCAGTGCAGCAAACACATGGCGATTAAGTCTTGTTTCAGCTACATTTGTAGATAGCATTACTTTGAACAAAAAAGCCTCTCATCAGAAATATTAACTTTAATGCTAACTTCTATTCTTCTGACGCAGTGCATTTCCTTCTATGAACTTATCAAGCTCTATCCTGAACTGATGTGGAAGTGTGGTGCTTGGAATCCCATCTCAGAATTTCATTTCCCTCATGGTGAGAAACCTTATTCTCATTCCACTCCTAATTTGTTGGTGACTGTATTCCTTTGCTCTGCTACTAACGTTGTACTGCTATTTAAAATATTTCTGTTTTACTCATTTCCATTTCTCTTTTTCCCAAAGTGCTTCCAAGGTTAATTTTACCCTGTTCCTAGTCACATTTTTAACAAAAATCTAAAAGAAACAAATTCTCTTCATCTCCTCTGACAAGACAAATTTTTGTTCCCACAATCCTCTGTGGAGAACAATCAGACTTGTTAGCATCACTGATAAGCACCAGCCTTGGGCAAAGGGGAATTGAGCAGCTTGCTCTTATTTATCTCTTAGACAAACTTTGTGGGTGGAGATCTGCAAGCTTGGTATGAGAGGTTGCTGAGGAGGGGAGTCTTGTGTTGGTGGGATAGCCCTGTTTTGGCAGCAGAACAGAATCTTGAGGGCCATGGTGCCCAAGTGAAACCTTTTGCTTCATTATGTGTAAAATGAAGTTAACACCCTGAATATGCTAATGAGCTTAATGAATTATATGCTAAACATATATGACTATAGTGTTTGACTCTTCACCCAAATCATGTTAAATGTCACCCCTGGGGAGGGAATGGATAAGGTTAGGATATAATAGAGTGCTAAGAGAAAAAAAAAAAAAGGAAAAAAAAAAAAAGAGAGAGAGAGCAAGGAAAAAAGAGCTGCTGGGGAGGAAGAACATGCATTTGGAAACCTAGTAGGGGCAGCTGATGGGCTGTGCTCCTTCTTCACCAAAACAGGGACACTTTCTTGGTAAGTTCTGTGCCTTCACCCTTTGGTGAGGAATACCTGGGATAGCATTTTGCCAGCACTGTTATCATATATTAGTACTATTGCAATAAGTGTGTTTATCAACAGCAATTACCAATCTGTTACGTCTGTCACCTTATTAAATTCAACATTGTGAAGCTCGTTCAAAGCCTTTAGCAGGGCTTTGAAATAAACAAGTGTTTTACTCTCATAAATCCTCCTTTAATGCAACAGCTTCTAATAGCCCTTTCTTGCATCTTGTTCAGTTGAAACTCCTGTCTTTTTCTTTCATGCCTTTTAACCTAGGTAGCAAGAATGGTCTCAGGCAATGACGGATATTTAAAATCTGACCTCTGGTTATATATAGCAATCAATAATTTAGATAGCCTGTACTGAAATATTGCCATTGCCTCCAGAACTTACTTCCCACAGAAAGTAACAATCTCTACTCTACAGCTTTCCTTATAGGTGGGGGAGGGAAAAAAAAAAGAGGCTTTTTTTTTTTTTTTTCCTAAGTGTAATATCAAAAATGCAACTATTAACCCAACAATTTTCCTAAGGCTTACTCAATATCAGTTCCAGTCACTCTGAGTATAAGACATATTTATCAACTTTGCTACAGTGCTTTCAGGCAACAAGCACTTGGCCACCACCTTGACCTCACTGGAAGACCAACCTGAGCAAAAGTCACCTTCATATTAGCCTAAATCTCAAAGCCTGAGAAGAGCACCACAAACTAACAGGTTTGTGTCAGCACAGGAGAACAAGAGTAACATGAAGCAACCAATGGAGTTCACTCCATCAGGAAAATACGCCCAGGAAAACCTGCAAACCTTTCTGTTGCTTGTGCTATCCTCTCGCAATTGAGATGGACACCAGGGAATCTCCAGCTGCTCCCCTGAAGAAGACATATAAATGTAGTTTTTAACCCTATGCAGAAGGAACCTAAGCAAAAAATCCAAATAAAAATTAAATATATATATATAAAAATACAAATAAAAATAAAAGCATGTGGCAGATGCTTTCAGAAGACTGGATGTACAACATTGCCTGATTTCCCTTCCAACTGGTGAGGCCACACCTTGAGTACTGTGTTCAGTTTTGGGCCCCTCACTACAAGAAGGACATCAAAGTGCTCGAGCGAGTCCAGAGAAGGGCAACAAAGCTGGTGAGGAGTCTGGAGAACAAGTCTTATGAGGAGCTGCTGAGGAAGCTGGGATTGTTCAGCCTGGAGAAAAGGAGGCTCGGGATGACCTTATCACACTCTATAGGTACTTTAAAGGAGGCTGTAGAAAGGTGGGGGTTGGTCTGTTCTCCCATGTGCCTGGTGACAGGATGAGGGGGAATAGGCTAAAGTTGCAAAAGGGGAGGTTTAAGTTAGTATTAGGAAGAACTTTACTGAAAGGGTTGTTAGGCATTGGAGTAGGTTGCCCAGGGAAGTGGTTGAGTCACCATCCCTGGAGGTCTTTAAAAGACGTTTAGATGTAGAGCTTAGGGATATGGTTTAGTGGAGGACTTGTTAGGTCAGAGGTTGGACTAGGTGATCTTGGAGGTCTCTTCCAACCTAGATGATTCTGTGTAATATAGGACGAAGGGGACCACTGTACTCAGACTCTAAACTTCCCCAGAAGGCTACTTCCTTTTGCACACCAGGATGGCAATTAGCACATAGTTCTGGATTACAGTGCCACACAAATACTAACTACAGCCAAGTGAAAGAACATGCTGTTTATGCATTCTTTCAACCAGTCTAGTACCAACCAGAAGATCGAGAGAGTTGCTGCCCTTTAACTATAAAACAACAATCTAGTTTTCTTATTGTAAAGATACTGCATAGTTGTTTTCTCTCCCCTTAGCCCCTGAGCAATTCAACACCGACTAACCCAGCTTTCTCTGCTAGATATTGTTACACTTACTATCAGCAGCCTAGCTGCTGCTCTAATAAACACATGAGGAATTATCATAGCTCTCTTGCTTTAGCTGAGCTCTCTAGGATATTTTATGACAGTCAGAAAAGAGTTTGTGCAATACTTATTACATGTGAGAGGGAGAGAAAATTGAGCAGCCTCAAAGACAGTGGTATTCCTTTTGTGCTGAACCACCTCACTCCTCACATAAAACGCAGCAGAAATCACAAACAACCATGATATTTTGAGGTACGGGGAATCCCAAAGGACCCTGCATGATGAGCTCTGCATTACAGAAACATCAAAAAATGAGCAAAGAATTCCAATATTCTCACTCTTGAACAAATATTTGCAAAAAAATGTTCAAAATGGGAGCTCATGGCTTCCAGAGGCTTTTTTTTTTTTTTTTTTTTTTTTTTTTTAATTCAGCGCAGATTTAGACACAGTGTCTCCAGACTACCTCACTTGAAAATAGACCCCAAGAAACCATTTAGCATATTGAAAGTATCTCCACTGTCTAATTACAGGCTTCGGGCACATTTACTTTCATCTCTGCTAGTCAGCCTTCGCAAGCACTGCCTTCGATCCACCTGGGATCCGCTGTGCACCCACACGCTGGCGGTGCTACTCTGTAAGAGCACAGGCATTGAGCGGTGAGGGTTTGGTGGCCTCGCTGCCTTGGGGAGATTAGTAAATAATATGGTAGATGGAGTAAAGCAAACCAAGTAACTGCTGTGAGGGGAAGAACGGAAGAGTTAAGAGGCTGATCCTCTCCAGAAAATGCTGTGATTGATGAAGATTTAACCACTACTTCAGCCTGTATCTGCAGCAGAGTGGAAAATAAAGAAGGGAGGCAGTGGAGGGTCCTGCTTCTGGTTATGGCTGGTTCTAAGGGACTTACTACTTTCATCAGGTTTGCTTTTCCTCAGGCACACTATCTTTACTACAGATTGTACTGCAGAGAGTTTAAGAAGTACAGCCCCCTCCACCACACAATAGAAAGTATAAGCAGAGCTTGCAAAAAAGTGAAAACACTTTTAAGTTATTGGTGAGTCCGAGGTTTCAGAACCAATCTAACAGGATCCATGAGAAGAGACTAGATACACCAAACACTCAAAAACAGATGACTGAATGGCCCAAAAATTTGCCTTTGACAAAGCAAGAAAAAATTGCCAAACATGAGAAATGCAAATAACAACATACAAGGGGTGAACAACAGTCTGGCACTGTAGAGATGGCAGAAAGTCTAAAAGAGTACAAGAAAAGGGTAAAATACACAAGAAAGGAAAATCTGCACTTATAAAAGAGACAAAATACCTGAGGCAGACAAGCATATGGAGTTCAAGCTGTAGTCTACAAAAAGCATTACATGGAGCTGCAGGCTCAGTTTGAAACATCAAGGGCCAAGATAATGCATTCAGAAAAAGATGGATTATAAACATCAGACTGCAAACCACCAAGGAAAGTGCACAGAATAGACACACAGGGCTGTCACAGCACCTTAACTCCCAAGGTCTTTCATCTGAGCAAAAATGTAATGCTGGGGAAAACAAATGGATTGACATTCTAAAAGCACCAGTTCTAGGGAAAAAGTGGAGAAGAGAAGAGAAAGAGAAAGAGAAGAAGAGAAGAGAAGAGAAGCGAAGCGAAGCGAAGCGAAGCGAAGCAGAGGAGCTGGTTATCAGAGAAATAAACTGTTACATGGGTACATAATTCGCTGGTAAATCTAATGCCTAGTAATAATAACAAGGAAAGTGAACCCATTATTGTTTTAAATAAAAGAGGAACAAAGGAAAGACATATTTTTGGCATCATTAAGAAGGGAAAGGGAATTAAGCAGATAGGAAGCGTGATTTAAATCTTCCAGAACAGAGAAACGCTTTTAGCGGAGCAGATGGAGAGAGTGCCCAAGTATCCCAGGACTCGTAGGTGCAGGACAGGTACCTTTCATCCCAGAAGAGAGGCTGGATATAATGCTTGTACAGCCACCAGTGGAAGTGTGTTATAGCATTTTCCACCAATTAAGGAAGTCAGAGGTCCACCTTCAGTAGTGAAGCTTGTCAGTAGTGATACAAGAATAGACTGACAGATAGATATGACAGTAGATAAGTATATAGATGGGTATCTATCTATATGACCATTTTCATGGGCAGTTTGTAGGACTTCAATTACCTCCTCCTTTAGCAAATTAATTTGAAATATACCAAGAGGTTGAAAGACTCTTCAGGTGAGAGGTTGGGAAAAGGATGTCTAATGGACCTAGACTGTCATTGTAAAAGCCTCCTTTTTAATAATACCAGAATTAAAAAATAAAACATAACATTTAAAATAAATAATAATAATAATAATAATTAAAAAATAAAAAATAAAAAAATGAAACTCTGCCATCCATACAAGATCAGATCCACTTTGAGGGGGTGCAGTTGTACATACAGTATTGATTGTAATTACATATTTCTCTGCAACTAGATTGCCTTAGTCCTGATTTTAGCCCTTGCTTGGCGGTTTGCCTGGAATAGTACAATGAAGATTACATTCAGACAAGAAAAATGTTACCTATGTGATTTGTCATATAGGCATTTACAGCAAATATTTGTGCTGATAAAAGGAAGGGAGGGAAACTGCACGGTTTTCAAAAGGGAAAATAAAAATACTTTTTCCTTTAAAAGCCACAATAATTAGTCTTAAAACACTATGAAAATACCTGCTGTGTGACAACATGACCCTGAAAGAATTTATTCAGTCTGTGTGATGTTGACCCCCCCAAAAAAATATACTAAAAAAAAAGAAAAATTAAAACTAAAATGGACTTTTTAGTGCATTTATTTGCTGTTGCACATAAAAGTCACTGTGTTTTTCCCATTCAAGTCACAAAGCAAGTATAAGACATTGAAAAGTAAATCCAGTAAACTTAAGGATTGAATCTTTTTGATTTGAGAAAAATGTATGCAGTAGAGTGCAAAAAAAAAATAAAAAGCATTTTAACAGAACCCAGAATAAAGCAGTTTATTTACAGTGATCAAACAATGCCCCTGAAGGCTGTAATTAAAGAACTTGTTGCCTTTGAAACCACCTTTTCTGGATTGCTACTTTGTTCAATAAAAAACACATTTATATCCTTTCATAAACTCATCTCTAGTTTGACAATCTGTATTAGCAACTGCTGTGATCACATCAAAGCAACCATAACAATTGATTCAGCATCTTTCTCCTCCATCTTCCCTAAAATGTTAAGCAGCCACACCAGCATCGTCCCTATCATGAGCCCTTTATCTGAGTTATTTCCTATTAAATGTACAAGAAGAGTCTTTTCATATTAAAAACAACAAGATAAAATTTAAATATAGCTAATGTATGAGATGGATCATGTCATTCTTCATGTCAGGGCATGTGACAGTACTACTGAGAGAAAAACCTTGTAATACAAGTTAGAACAACAGCACAGCAACCATCTCAGTAATATTTCTCTTTTGCTTTCCAGTAGCTTAGAGCCCCATTCGGTGACTGCTCTAGGAGTGAATGCTTCAGTGATCCTTATAGGGAGTGTTGCTCAAAATCAGATCCATGACTAAACAGCAATAATACATCACTTCTACATAACTCCCTTTAGTCACACAAGTCTGGGTGCTTCAGTGAGGAGGGCTGGGGAGAGCGATGCACACCAGACAAAAGACCTGACCGCAGGGGCACAGAGGGCCATTCAGCAGGGCTGGAGCTCAAGTCCAGGCTGGCCGACTCCCAGTCCGACAGCCTGTCTGCTACAGGGTGCTGCTAAGCACTTCCAAATACCCGCTATTCTGTTTTTCAACAAAGGCCACACTTTTCTACTAATGCAACCAAGTAACTTTGCAGGCAGAACAGTAGGCATTGACTCCCTAGCCCCATGAGTTTGCATCCTTGAAGGAAAGAATTCGCCCTTTTCATCTCTCAGTAGCACCCACTGAATTCATTGTAGCTGGCAGGCTGAGATGTCTTTGAAAGAAGATCCAAAGAACCAGGAGCCTGGCTGCTTTGCGAGGAGATGACAGATCTCCTGACAAGTCTTGAAAGAGGAGAACTTTGTCCCAGCGTCCTTCTCCGAATGTTTCTTTCTCCACTATTATGTTGTCATCGGTTGCCCATA